CCAAACTGCAACCCAAAACTCACTTATGTATCGTCGAGTGCCAGGTGGGCGTGGCCCACTGGGTGGCCGTGGCTGTGGTGGTCATGGCAGACTGGGTGGGTGTGGCCAAGGTAGGCACGGTCACCTCAATGTTGCTCGTAGGGAGGGACGCCTGTGGGGGCTGGGCAGGGTTGGGGGAGATCCAGGGGGTCTCTGGCAGGTGGGGCGGTGGGCAGGAGGCTCGTCCTGCAGGGTGAGACGAGGAAAGGTGAGGCAGGGCGGGGGTCCCATTGTCGCAGGGCAAGGCGAGGCAGGGCAGCTGCTGCCTGACACCATCGGCCCCTGCACACACAAGCCAGCGAGCACATGGAGGCCAACAGTGTCCATCAGCAGCCACAGCCTGCCAGCCCCTCAACCGGCACACTCTGGGGCTCCACAACCCACCACCAGCAGTTCAGAGAAGCTGCCTCTGAGCTGGACAGACGGCCGACAGCTGAGGAGGCGATGCAGTGGACCGTGCCCCGGAAAAGAAGAGCATGCGAGGCCAGGAGGGATGGGATGGGGAGGGAGGGAGGGAGGGAAACCAGCCGTGCTGGGATGCATCCGGCCACGTGGGACCTCGGCGAGTTAGCGGGCGGCTGGTTGAAGAGGGACGTTGCTATCTCTAGGGCAGTGGTTCTCAACCTGTGGGTCGCGACCCCATTTGGGGTCGAACGACCGTTTCACGGGGGTCGCCAAACAACGCAGTCCGCCATTTTTCCCCCCTTTTCCTTAACTGTGCTCCTCCCTTTTATTCTATTGGCTTTTGAAAGCCAACAGAATAGACTCTCTTGAATAGAGTCTAATTCTATTGGCTTTCAAAAGCCAATAGGAATTGTCCAGGCTGTCTCTGCCCTGCTGAGCCCGCCAAAAGTCCCATTCTGCAAATGGTGCTGCACCAGTTGAGTAGTCCTCGACTTACGACCGGTTGAGTAGTCCTCGACTTACGACCGGTTGGGGGTCGTGGCATTAAAAAGGTTGAGAACCACTGCTCTAGGGCATGGCGCGCGTGCCCATAGAGAGGGCTCTGAGTGCCGCCTCTGGCACGCGTGCCATAGGTTCGCCACCACTGGACTAGACAGTCACTTGTCACGTGACTAATCCTGAAGTACTGATTAATCAGCAACAATTGCCCATTATTTAATCCTTCATTAAAGCCAGTTGTCCCAGATAGGATCCTACGATCACAACTTGGAAATAAAGATGTGGATATTAATTTCTGACAGGAAGTTTCACACTTTATTTATTGTAATCAAAAGAGTCATTCAAAGCGTTTCAAGTTGAGTTCACTATCTGTATTTTTATTAATCACTGGAGTGGCTTGCCTTAAGAAGTTGTGGATGTTCCTTCCCTGGTAGCTTTTAAGAAGAGACTGGACAGCCATTTGTCTGAAATGGTGTAGGTCAGTGGTTCTCAACCTGTGGGTCGGGACCCCATTTGGGGTCGAACAACCATTTCACGGGGGTCGCCAAACAAGGCTGTCTGCCATTTTTTCCCCCTTTTCTTTGGCCACGCCCCTGGCACCCAGTGATGTATAAGTGGTTGGGGGTCACCACAACATGGGGAACTGTATTATGGGGTTGCGGCATTAGAAAGGTTGAGAACCACTGGTGTAGGTTCTCCTGCTTGAGCAGGGGGCTGGACTAGAAGACCTCCGAGGTCCCTTCCACCTCCGTTAGTCTGTTGTTTGCCATTGGCGCCTGCACACCCACACCCCCCCCAGCTGTCTGTTTCGAGTCCTCCGTGGTCTTCAGTTCTTTGTAGAAGATGAGTCCTTGAGATGGGGTGATCCTTGGGAGGGTGTGATGGCCTCTCGGCGCTGTTTGGCTGACTCATCCCTCCTGGCTCTCAGGAACGTGACCAGCACATGCACTCGTGGCCCTTTGAAGCACACCGTGTCGTAATAACTGTGACTGACCGAGTGAGAGCAGGATTAACTGACACTTTCGGGGAAATATAAAACGTGCAACCGGAAGACCGATGCCTTTTGTGACACCCACGTGGGCTTCCCATGGGCTGCTGTGATTTTCCACAAGGACTTTGGTAGTTATACTGCAGTGTTCCCCAAACTTGACCATTTTAAGGCATGTGGACTTCAACTCCCAGAATTCCACAGCCAGCGTTGCTGGCTGTGGAATTCTGGGAGTTGAAATCCACATGCCTTAAAATGGTCAAGTTTGGGAAACACTGTTATACTGGATTTCCCCGCCCCCCCCCCTCTTTCAAGGTTCTTGGTGTTTCTTCATTTATTAAGATGCATCCACTTTTGGGGAGGGAAAGAAAGAAAGGAAGGAAAGAAAGAAAAAAGAGAAAGAAACAAAGAAAGAAAGAAAAGGGAGAAAAGGAAATCAGGAACGAAGGAAGGAGAAAAAAGGGAGGCAAGAAGGAAGGGAGGGAGGAAAAAGAAAGGAGAAAAAGAAGAAGAAAAATGGGAGGGAGGGAGAAGAAAAAAGGAAAGAAAAAAGTAAATGAAGGAAGGAAGGAAAAAGAAGTGGAAGGAAGGAAAGAGGAAGGGGAAAGAAAAGGAGGGAGGGAGGAAAAAGGAAGGGGAAGGAAGGAAGGAAGGAGGGAGGGAAGAAAAGAAAGGAAGTGGAGAAAAAAGAAAGGGAGGGAGGGAGGAAAAAAAGAAAAGGTAAAAGAAGGAAAGAAAGGAAGGGGAAAGAAAAAAAGGAGGGAGGGAGGGAGGAAAGAAAAAAGGGAAGGAAGGAAGGAAGAAAAGAAAGGAAGTGGAGAAAAAAGAAGGAGGGAGGGAGGAAAAAAGAAAAGGTAAAAGAAGGAAAGAAAGGAAGGGGAAAGAAAAAAAGGAGGGAGGGAGGGAGGAAAGAAAAAAGGAAAGGAAGGAAGGAAGAAAAGAAAGGAAGTGGAGAAAAAAGAAAGGGAGGGAGAGAGGATAAAAGAAAAGGTGAAAAGGAAAGGACGGGGAAAGAAAGGAGGGAGGGAGGGAGGAAAGAAAAAAGAGAAGGAAGGAAACAAGGAAAGAAAGGAAGGAAGCAGAAAAAGAAAGGTCAGGATCAAACTGCTGGCTCTGTGGGCAGAGTCAGCCTGCAATGCTGCATTCTGACCACTGCAGCATTAGACTAAAAGAGAGCAGTTTGGTCTAGTGGTTAAAGCACCAGGCCAGAAAGCAGGAGACCATAAGTTCAAGTCCTGCCTTAGTCATAAAAGCCAGCTGGGTAACTTTGGACCAATCACCAGGAGATGGTGAATTCTAGCCCCACCTGAGTCATGAAAGTAGACTGGGCGATCTTGGGCCAATCACTAAGAGATGGTGAATTCTAGCCCCGTCTGAATCATGAAAGTCAACTGGGCGACCTTGGGCCAACCACCAGGAGATGGTGAAGTCTAGCGCCGTCTGAGTCATGAAAGTCAACTGGGTGACCTTGGGCCAACCATCAGGAGATGGTGAAGTCTAGCGCCATCTGAGTCATGAAAGTCAACTGGGTGACCTTGGGCCAACCATCAGGAGATGGTGAAGTCTAGCGCCATCTGAGTCATGAAAGTCAACTGGGTGACCTTGGGCCAACCACCAGGAGATGGTGAAGTCTAGCGCCATCTGAGTCATGAAAGTCAACTGGGTGACCTTGGGCCAACCACCAGGAGATGGTGAAGTCTAGCGCCATCTGAGTCATGAAAGTCAACTGGGTGACCTTGGGCCAACCATCAGGAGATGGTGAATTCTAGCCCCACCTGAGTCATGAAAGTAGACTGGGCGACCTTGGGCCAATCACTAAGAGATGGTGAATTCTAGCCCCGCCTGAGTCATGAAAGTCAACTGGGCGACCTTGGGCCAATCACTAAGAGATGGTGAATTCTAGCCCCGTCTGAATCATGAAAGTCGACTGGGCGACCTTGGGCCAACCACCAGGAGATGGTGAAGTCTAGCGCCATCTGAGTCATGAAAGTCAACTGGGTGACCTTGGGCCAACCATCAGGAGATGGTGAATTCTAGCCCCGCCTGAGCCATGAAAGTAGACTGGGCAACCTTGGGCCAACCACCAGGAGATGGTGAATTCTAGCCCCGCCTGAGCCATGAAAGTAGACTGGGCGACCTTGGGCCAACCACCAGGAGATGGTGAATTCTAGCCCCGCCTGAGCCATGAAAGTAGACTGGGCGACCTTGGGCCAACCACCAGGAGATGGTGAATTCTAGCCCCGTCTGAGTCATGAAAGTCAACTGGGCGACCTTGGACCAACCAACAGGAGTTGGGGAGTTCTAGTCCCACCTTAGCCCTGAAAGCCAGTTAAGTGACATTGGGCCCACTAGGAGACAGGAAGTTCTAGTCCCCCCTTCCTTATGAAAGCTAACTGGGTGACTTTGGGAAAGTCTCTCTCTCTCTCTCTCTCTCTCTCTCTCTCTCTCTCTCTCTCTCTCTCTTTCTGTCTCCCTCCCTCCCTCCCTCCCTCTCTCTCAGCCCAGCCTACCTCACAGGGATGTCGTTGTGGGGAAAACAGGAAGAGGTAAGGTGTGTTGGATCTGTTTGCCCCCTTAAGTGATTTGTAAAGCACAATAAAAGAAAGGATGCAAGTTAAAAAAATAAATAAAAGTTTAACAAGGCCCTTTCTGACCGGATATTCTGTAAAAGGGGAAGGGCGAATTTGGCTGGGGAGGGCGTAAAAAGCGGGTGACCCTTCTACTTCCCCAGGACTAATTTAGGCATAGGGCAGCCGGCCCAGGGGCTATTTATAACCAAGCCACACTCCTCTGTTTGTGTGTCTCTCTGTGTGTGTCTCTCTGTGTGTGTCTAAGACGCAAAGAGAAGCTGACAGGTGTAGCTGCTGCGCAAATGACCACTGATGACAGGAGACCCTTGGCAGGGCTGGTCAGGCGGAGTCCCCCCCCCACCCTTGTGCTGGAGAGCAAGATGGTTTTTTCCATCCATAACCAGGGTGGGGGGGGAGGGGGGAGAAGGAGCAGGCGCCTGGGGTGGGGGGCGGAGGATTTGCCTGGCTGCAAGGCTAGATAAGGGGCAGGCAGCGCTTCCTTCCTCTGCAGTTGAGGAGAGAGAGTGAGTGAGACACACACACAGAGAGAGAGAACGAGAGAAAAAGAGAGAAAGAGCGAGGAAGAGAGAAAAAAAAGAGAGTGAGAAAGAGGGGTAACATTGGGGAAAAGTCTCCCCCTCTTTTCATTGATTTGTCCTAAACCGTCTTGCCCCCCCCCTCTCCGGAGAAGATGAAATACATCATAGGAATAGGAGGGTAAGTGACTTCTCCCCCCCTCCCCTTTATTTTCCTTTGCGTGGGAAACACACAAAATTGACCGCGGGGGGGGGGGGGAAGAAAGACGCAACGGCCCCTCCAGTCTCGCCTTTTGTGTGTTTTCCTTGCCTTGTTTCCCCCCCCCTTTCTGTTTCCTTTGGAATTCCCATTTACGGATCGTTCCCACTCTTAATGTTTTGCGTTATTTATTGATTCGTGATTTTTTTTTTTTTTTTTTACTTCGCAATTTCTATTTCTTACGCCTGGGGCTCGAACGCTTCGCGTTTTTGTGCTTGTTTATTTTTTGAACTCGATTGTTTTGGGTTTTTTTCTTTTTCTTTTTTTTTAAATGGGTGGGAAGAAAAGGCGTGCTTTAAAGGTTTAAAAAGTCAGAGGCTGAAATTTCTCCGGATGTTTGTGTTGTTTGTTTATTTATGGGCTCATTCATCCATCCATCCATTCATTCGATTTGTATTGGCGCCCATTTCAACGAAGGAGTCTGAGCGGCTTAAGAATTCAGCGTCTGCTGCTTTATAGCCCAGTCGGGGATCGAAGGCTGGAAGTAATGGGGTGTGTGTGTGTGTGTGTGTGTGTGTGTGTGTGTGTGTGTGTGTGTGTGTGTGTGTGTGTGTGTGTGTGTGTGTGTGTGTGTGTGTGTGTGTGTGTGTGTGTGTGTGTGTGTGTGTCCCCACCTTTACCACGAAAGGAAGTCCCACGGAAGTCACTGTGGTAGGAGGCTACCAGAATAAAATACAGAATAACTACAGTGGGACGGGACCTTGAGGTCTTCTAGTCCAACCCTCCCTCCCCCCCCCACGCTCAGGAATTATTATTTTTTTTTTTTAAAGAAATTTGAAAACTCTAAAGAGTTTCTCTTTCATCAGATGAGAAAAGGTCCTTCGTGGCTGTTTTCATATACATACATACATACATACATACATTTCATATATATACATATTTCATATATATACATACATATATATATATATTTCATATACATATACATATATATATATATATATATATATATATATATATGTATATATATATATATATATATATATATATATATATATATATATATATATATATATATATATATATATATATATATATATATATATATATATATATATATATATATATATATATATATATATAGTTTTTCAGACAGACCGATCCGATTGATTGCACCTTGGCATTTTTTGGCTGCTATAATGCAGATCTATTTTTTTATAACCACTTTTGCCTTGCTGCCCCCCAGCTAGGGGCGTTAAGCAGGCTCAAGTCGCTACTGCGATACATTACAAATTCAGATTGGCGAGCTGATGAGGGCTAATGAGCCTGAAATAGCTATACTAGTCTCCCACTTAATTTTCTAAGTCTTTGTCAGCAAAAAGAAATCTGAACACACACACACATATATATAGACTGAGTCTCTTCCAAGACAAGCCATGATTACCTTTTTTGCCACTGACGACCCCACTTGGGCGGGGGGGGGGGTGTTACTTTGCTGTCTGCCTCGGATCTCATTGACCCGATTCATGGATTTATTGAATTAATTAATACGCCGCTCCCCTCCCACTGTCAAGCGACCCTTTGCGCTACAACAAGATGCTCAAAAATTAAAGCAGTTAAGACAATAAATATAACATTAATTAAGAATCTGATCTCCTGAAGGCCGTTTTGGATTTGCACAAGAAAAAAAAACCCCGGTTGCAGCGGGGGGGGGGGGGGGATGCAAGCTTTTATATTTATAGCAACGACCGGAAGGAGGAAATCCTGAGCGGGTTTTGCAGAACGAGCAGGATAAAAATGTTAAGCCACGAGGCTTCCAAGCTCTCAGCAATGGCGTGCCTTGATGGTCAACCTAAAAAGGGAACCAATTTGTCCTTTAAAAGAGCTGCCAGCCGGCTACATCTGTACAACCGCGTTAAAACTGGGACTGGGTTTTAAGTGGCCCTACACGTGTGTGTAACCCCAGCCCGAGGCTGCCTGTGTGTGTGTCTTGTGTATTGGGTGGAAACCCCCCTCCTCAAATGGGTCAATGGCGTTGAAGCTCCTGGGCAGACAAGTTCTCCCAGGAAGGCAGTCTAGTTTGTCTGTGTCATATATGTGGGTATAAGCATAATTCTGCATTTATTTATTTTTGTCATATTTACGTAGCGTATATCGGAGGTGGTGACCCTTTGAGAGCTGCGTGCGATGAAATTCCTCTTTAATGCATGCCGATTAGTGTAGATTCAAAGTGAGAATAAAGTTTATTCTATTCTAGTCAGGGCTACTGGTTAAATGGGGGTTTTTTTGGGGGGGGAGGGGGCTCCCTCCCTTCCTCATTTGGCCTTGTAGGTGCTAGAAGTAAAGCCTTCATCCTGGTTCATCCAAGCCGGGAATAAATAAGCAAACATGGTGACTGCTTTGGGAAGAAGGTTACAGTTTATTGCAGAAAGATGGTTCTTCAGGAAAGAGCAGAAGAGAGAAAGGGCTGAGCACATGGGGCAGTAGGCTTTTATACCCCCTCCAGCCTTGTTTGGAATAGTTTCCTGTTCCTGTGGCATGAACCTTGAGGCTGTTTCTGAGTGTTTGTCTAGGACTCTAGGCCTTGATATCTGTGGTTTAATCCTATTATCATATCCTGCTTCCCAGGTGATGGGGCTAACAACTCCTAGAGTTTGGGTGGGGCATGCAGATCTTCTCTTTGTCTTCTTGATTGCTCTGGCTCCAACTTTCTGATGGTTTTACATTTGCATTTATATGGGCCTAGCTCTTGCTTGGGGCAGAGAGATAGATTTGGGGCAGGTTTGGTTTTAAAAAAGTCCTTTTGAGGAAGAAATATATTTTTCTGCCCTTTTTAATATTTCTTTCTCTGGCCTAACTTCTCTCATAGGAGAGCCAGGGCTCTGATGGGGGGGGGGTTCCCCAAATAAAAGCCCCTTCTCCCTAAGCTTCCTAAAAGACAGAATAGGCTTAAACGATGAAAAGCAGGGAAGTTTAGATGGGGGAGGTGTTTTCTGCGTTTTTCAATTCTCTGCTAAGGCAAACCTTTTTAACAAATTTGAACCGGTTTTCCCCATAGGACAGAAGACCCCTCCCCTCCCAAAATATCAAGTTGAATAAAGAAATGAATAAAGGCCCTTCCAGCATTCACTCCGCCCCCCCCCAAGAGAAAAATCTCCCTCTACAGGATTCAGAAATAGTAGGATGAGGGTACTGTAGTTATTATTATCCTCCCAAGTTGATGGACAGTTTCCCCCCCCCCCCGCAAAATAAAATAAAATAAAATGGCCGGGCGGATGGAAATATGATCAACATGGACCCAAGAAAAGGTCCCGTTGCAAAGTTAGGAGAGCCAGCTGGGGGAGGATGGGGGGGAGGTTTTGAACTGTTTATTGTATCTGACATAGATTTTTTTTATTTTTTAAAAAGGCCCAGATTGTAATATTTTTCATAATTTAAAAAGAGCCCAGAGTCACACCTCTGTGCTATAATAATAATAATAATAATAATGTTGGAAGGGACCTTGGAGATCATCAAGTCCAACCCCCTGCTCAGGCAGGAAACCCTATATCATTTCGGACAAATGGCTGTCCAGTTTCTTCTTAAAAACTTCCAGTGTTGGAGCATTTACCGCTTCTGGAGGCAGGTTGTTCCACTGGTTAATTGTTCTCACTGTCAGGAAGTTTCTCCTTAGGTTCTAGGTTGCTTCTCTCCTTAATTAGTTTCCACCTGTTGCTTCTTGTCCTGCCTTCAGGTGCTTTGGAGAATAGCTTGACTCCCTCTTCTTTGGGGTAGCCCCTGAGATACTGGAAGACTGCTATCATGTCCCCCCTCATCCTTCTCTTCGTTAAACTAGACATCCCCAATTCCAGCAATCGTTCCTTATATGCTTTAGCCTCCAGTCTCCTGATCAGCTTTGTTGCTCTTCTCTGTACTCTTTCTAGAGTCTCAACATCTTTTTTACATCGTGGTGACCAAAACTGGATGCAGGATTCCAAGCGTGGCCTTCCCAAGGCCTTGTAAAGTGGTATCAACCCTTCACGTGATCTAGATTCTATCCCTCTGTGAATGCAGCCTAGCACTGTGTTGGCTTTTTTGGCAGCTGCAGCACACGGCTGGCTCCTATTTAGGTGATTGTCCACTAAGACTCCGAGATCCCTCACTGTTACTACTATTGAGCAAGGTACCCCCTATACTATGGGCGGCATAGAAATTTAATAAATAGAATAAAGCTGGAAGGGATCTTGGAGGTCTTCTAGTCCAGCCCCCCCCCCCGCTCAAGCTTGAGAACCTATACGAATAATAGAGAAAAGTTGATGATACGCCTCTCCCCCTCCCACCAAACGGATGTAAGAGATCACAATCGTACGAGGGCTCAGCCCCCCACCCCACAATTTTTCCTGCCCTTCCCCCCAAAACCCAGGACGATCCCTCCCCCCCCCCAAAAAAAAACCCCGGTCAGTCTTTGCGTTCAAAGGCGTTGAAGCCCTTAACGGGGCTCAGACAAACAAGGAGAACCACCCCCACCCCCAGATAGAAGGCGCGGGGGCTTTTCTCTCTCTGCCCCCTCCCCTCCCGCTCCGTTCTTCCCGCCTGCCTTTCCCGCGCCCGCCAAGCCCATTCAAAAGACGGAGGGAAAAAAAAACGGGAAGGAAGGCTACAGAACGTTTAACCGGCAGGGCGGGAAAGTCCGTTCATTCATTCATTCATTCATTTTCTTCCTTCGTGCTTGCGTCATGCCTTCATTCATGGCCGGCGCCAATCCGACCGAGCGCCCGCCCGCCGGCCAGCCAATCATGAGCCCGCCTAGGAAAGGCGCGCTTCCCCCCCTCTTTTTTTTGAATAAGGCGCGCTTTTTTTTTTGAATCGGCGCTCTTCCTGTCCCCTCCCTCCGCTCTCTTCTGTTTTGCTCTGGGTGCGAAATAGAAAGCCGAGGCGAACTCAGCAGTGGGACCACTGCTCCCATCATTCCCAGCCGAGAGCATCCAACCCATGGGGTGGGCTCCAGATTTGGGGGGAGGGCAGCCCGACAAACGCAGCCCGATTCTTCTCTGTTGCTCACATCAGAAGGGGTGGATGCTGAAATTTGGTGTGTGTGTGTGTGTGTGTGTCTTTTTTTAGACACTTAGGAGCCCAAATACAATTTGTTTTTCTAGGGAAAAAAAACAACTAGTGCCACAGAGCATAAAAGAGCTTTTTTTATTTTTTTTGTTTTATTCTTAAAAAACGGAACATTTAAAGCAGGGGTAGGCAACCTTGGCTCTTTTAGGACTCGTGGACTTCAACTCCCAGAATTCCTCAGCCAGCCACGCTGAGGGGAAAGGGAGAGGTTTCCAAGCTGAGCCAGGCTGGCTCAGGAATTCTGGGAGTTGAAGTCCAGGAGTCATGAGGGGCCATAGTTTCCCCATGCTGGCTGAGGAATTCTGGGAGTTGAAGTCCATGAATCATGAAGGGGCCAAAGTTTCCCTCATGCTGGCTGAGGAATTCTGGGAGTTGAAGTCCCTGAGTCACGAGGGGGCCATAGTTCCCCCATGCTGGCTGAGGAATTCTGGGAGTTGAAGTCCGGGAGTCATGAGGGGCCATAGTTCCCCCATGCTGGCTGAGGAATTCTGGGAGTTGAAGTCCAGGAGTCATGAGGGAGCCATAGTTCCCCCATGCTGGCTGAGGAATTCTGGGAGTTGAAGTCCAGGAGTCATGAGGGAGCCATAGTTCGCCCATGCTGGCTGAGGAATTCTGGGAGTTGAAGTCCAAGAGTCATAAAAGGGCCAAGGTGGCCTACCCCTGATTTAAAGCAAAGGATCATGTATTTGGGGCCCAACTCAGTAGCTTTCTGGTAACTCCGCTTCGTGACATCAATCAATCAATTAATACTGTAATAACATGTAATCAAGTTAGTCATAAATAAGAGAAATAAGCCTAAAAAACGTTCCGTAAACATTACCTATTAAATGTATTAATTTAGTTTTATTTAACGCTCATGACTTAATTCTTTTACAATTACAGTATTTATTTAAAGTATTATTTTACAGGGTTATTTATTTATTTACTTACTAGAACGGTACTAGTGATTTACTAAGTCCGAAGCGTTGCTGCCAGACTTTTATTGATTACAGGGGGCATTTCTGAAATGTCTCAAATTGCAACCTTGATGGGGGGGGGTGTCTGCCAATTACGGTTGTTAAGTTGGAATGGCTGTAAAATGGTTCAGTCATGTGTCTGACCCAATTTTATGATGCGCTTTGTGGTGGTCATTAAGTGAACCGGGCAGTTGTTAAGTGCGAACTGATACTTTGCTAGGGACGCAGTTTTGCTGGAAAGCTGACGGTTGTAGAATAGAATAGAGCTGGAGGGGGCCTCGGAGGTCTTCTAGTCCAGCCCCCTGCTCAGGCAGGAGAACCTATACCAGTTCAGACAAGTGACTGTCTAATCTCTTCTTAAAAATCTCCAGTGATGGAGCACCCACAACTTCTGGTGGCAAGCTGTTCCACTGGTTGATTGTCCTCACTGTCAAGAAGTTTCTCCTTAGTTCCAGGTTGCTTCTCTCTTTGGTCAGTTTCCAACCATCGTTTCTCGTCCTTCCCTCTGGTGCTTTGGAGAATAACCTGGCCCCCTCTTCCTTGTGGCAGCCCCCCAAATAGTGGAACACTGCTATCATGTTTCCCCTATTTCTTCTTTTCTTTAGACTAGCCAAACCCAAGTCCTGCAGCCGTTCTTCGTATGTTTTAGTCTCCAGGCCTTGGATCATCTTAGTTGCTCTTTGAGCTTTTTCCAGACTCAACATCTTTTTTGTGATACGATGACCAAAATTGGCTGCAGTATTCCAGGTGTGGCCTTACTAGGGCTTTGTAAAGCAGTACTAGTATTTCGCGTGATCTTGATTCTCTGTCTCTGTTTATGCAACTCAGGATAGTGTTAGCTTTTTTGGCTGCTGCTGCACACGGCTGGCTCATAGTCAAGGGATCGTCCACTAGGACTCCGAGGTCCATCTCACAGTTACTGTTTTTGAGCCAGATCTCACCTAGTCTGTACTTGTACTTTTGATTTTTCCTGCCTAAATGTAAAACTCTGCTTTTCTCCACATTAAAATGCATTTTGTTGGATAGGGCCCCTTGTTCATGTGACCAGGCGAGGCTGCAAACATCCATCAATGCGGCCATGTTGCCAAGTGGCCAAAAGGTGGTCACGTGACTATGGGGAAAGCCCCCCCCCAAAAATAGAATTTTGGATCTGGGTCCCATATCTCCTTTTTGAGGAGCTTATAAATTCAGTCATTAAGTCAAGGGCTCCCTCTAACACAGTTCCTGTAGGTCAGGGGTGGGGAACTGTGGTCCCTTTATGATTTGGACTTCAACTCCCAGAATTCCTAAGCCGGCATTGTGTTTTAGGACAGTGGTGGGGAACAATGGCCTCTTTATGTCTTGTGGACTTCAACTTCCAGAATTCCTGAGCCAGCAAGGGTTCAGAATTCCTGAGCAGGGCTGCCTCAGGAATTCTGGGAGTTGAAGTTCACAAGTCATAAAAGGATGCCCCACTCCTGGCCTAGGGAGTCACTTGTTGTGCAGGCCCGACTCTTAATTCTTCAAAGTAGGAAGCAGGTGACACTAGACAAGGGGTAGGCAACCTTGGCTCTTTTATGACTCGTGGACTTCAACTCCCAGAATTCCTGAGCCAGCATGCTAGACTGAGGAACTCTGGGAGTTGAAGTCCATTCAGATGTTGATCCATTCAGATGTCAATCCATTTAGATGGTGGTCTGTTCAGATGTTGGTCCATTCAGATGTTGATCCATTCAAATGGTGGTCTATTCAGATGTTGGTCCATTCAGATGTTGATCCATTCAGATGTTGGTCCGTTCAGATGTTGAAGTCTGTTAGGTCCACTAAATTGTTGAGGTTGAAAACAACAGTTGCTTGAAAGCCCAGTCTTTTTGAAGTAGGTCCCCCTTCAGGCCATAGAGTTGTGGGGCACGCAGAGGTCTGGGGACCTTTGGGGGCCTTTGAGAAGGAGAAGGAGGTCTCACTTCTTCTGAGAGAGGCCACCCTAGTCCTCATCTCGCCACTCGGCTTCTTCCCACGGTCCTCGTCCTAATCTCGTCTTCGCTCTTCTGCTTCACCTTCCTTCCTCTAGGGTGACCAATGGGGGCAAGACCACTTTGACCAATAGACTTACCCAAGCTCTCCCCAACTGTTGCGTGGTCCACCAGGATGACTTCTTCAAGGTAGGTTGAACTTTCTGCCTTGGGTTGATCTAGGGGTTGATTGAACTGAGAAAGTTGGCCAGGGGTGGCCAAGGTGAGTCTAGTGGCACCTTAGGAAGCCGAGCATGGTTAGCAGAGGTGGGTCTTAGGGGGGTCTTTGTAGAAAAAAGGGGGGATCGGGGTGGAACGAAGCACAGGAACTGCCTTCTTAACTCCAGATTGGACCCAGGGTACAAGCTCCCCCTCCCCATTTGGGGGGCAATGGTTAATGTGAGTAGGGGCAAGAGAACAGATGTGTTTTGAGAGCCTTGCCCAATCTGAAACATAAACACCCCTGGTCTTTATCGTTGCTGTCCGTTGTATAAAGCAGTGCTTTTCAAACTTGGCTATTGTAAGATACGTGGACTACAACTCCCAGAATTCCCCAGCCAGCCATGCTGGCTGGGGAATTCTGGGAATTGAAGTCCAGGCATCTTAAAGTTGCCCGAGTTGAAAAACAGTGATATGAAGTAACCTCCCTTTTATCCACAGGTCATAAGAAATATATATGCGTTTTCATTTGAAAAATATAGATGGGCATTTCTACCTATTTGGCTCAAATAGTGGGTGTGTCCCCCCCAAAACTGCCTCACTCATAGGGATTTCCTGCATTGAATGGACATAATCACAGAATAAATGACAGAATTGGAAGGGACCTTGGAGGTCTTCTAGTCCAACCCCCTGCTCCAGCAGGAAAGCGTATAGTATTTCGGACAAATGGTTGTCCAGTCACTTCTTAAAAACCTCCACAGTTTTTCAAAACCAAATGCCCAACACGTAGTTCTATATCCTCCCTGGCCTCTACTGACAAGAGTGAGGAGGATCCAATGGCCTAAAGGCTAATACAGCTGCCTAACATGCAAGCTGCCCAGGTTTGAATCCCAGAAGGGTAAGACTAGCTGATGACAGCTAAAGAGTTTGAAATAGCTACACTAGCCTCCCATTTAACTCTTTGTCAGCCACAAAATTTTATATTCAAAATTTATGGCTGGCAAAGAGTGAGTGGGAGACTAGTATAGCTATTTCAGGCTCATTAGCCCTCATCAGCTAGTCACACCCTTCAGGGATTCGAACGTGGGCAGCTTGCATGTTAGGCAACTGTAATACCTAACATGCAAGTTGCCCAGGTTCAAATCCCTGAAGGGTAAGACTAGCTGATGACAGCTAAAGAGCTTGAAATAGCTACACTAGCCTCCCATTTAACTCTTTGTCAGCCACAAAATTTTATATTCAAAATTTATGGCTGGCAAAGAGGGAGTGGGAGACTAGTATAGCTATTTCAGGCTCATTAGCCCTCATCAGCTAGTCACACCCTTCAGGTATTCGAACGTGGGCAGCTTGCATGTTAGGCAGCTGTAATACCTAACATGCAAGCTGCCCAGGTTCGAATCCCTGAAGGGTATGACTAGCTGATGAGGGCTAATGAGCCTGAAATAGCTATACTAGTCTCCCCCTCACTCTTTGCCAGCCACAAATTTTGAATTTATAGTGCTCACAGCATCTGACGTCTGCCTGCAAAACATGCTCCTAGATTGAAGCGAAACGCAGAACAGACTGATTTATATTTGGTAGATCAGGTGCCTTATATATTAACAAATAAAAGAAAATAACGAACACCAGGATATAATAAACCAGCCTGTTTAATACAAACAAGCCTGTGGTTAAGAAGAGCCACTAAGCTTTCGTCCGGCCAAAAACTGCCGGCGTCATCAGAGTTAGAATAGCAGGAGATCGGGAAGGCAGCTCATATAGCCTCCTGCCTCTGCGCCCGGCTCCTTAAGCACATCGTCGGCCCATTGATTGTATTAATCCGTATCACGCAAAGTTGTTCCGCAGCAGGCAAACTGTCCTTGGCTCCACTGGTTGTTTTAGAGCACTTTTTAAATCTGTGCATACGTGAAAGATGTCTATCCGAACTTTATTTTTTTGCATTGACATGCATGCTTGATTTCATTTTAAAAAAAGCAAAGCAGGAAAATTATACAATGGGGTTGCAGATATTTCCCCTCTCAATTGTCTCTTTCTGGGCCCTGCTCCCTGGTCAGAAAACCACTCTCCCTTAATCTAACATCTTCTCTGTGGGGCCCATAGTCTGTACTATGGATAAATCGGACCTCACTTAACATACCTTGCGTGGCGGATAATACGTGCCCGTGTAGATAAGATATATTTTTTTTTGCCAGTGTGTGGCTGCCTCTCACAATTCTCTCACTTCAAAAATAGGATGTCGAGAGGCCTCCGTAGAGATTGGCATGGCATGTGCTAGTCGCCCAGTGAAAGAAACACAAGTTTAATTTGGCCAAAGGCAACAGGGATTAATTAAATCAGGGTTTGCAAAGTTGGGCAACTTTTAGACGGGTGGACTTCAACTCCCAGAATTCCTTTCAATGCCTTTTCTTCCTTTTCCCCCTTTTTTCCTACACTTTTTCTTCCCTTTCCCCCTCTCCTATTTTTCCTATTATTTATTTTTGTATTTTATATTATAAACTAATAAAAAGACAAATAAATAAATAAGAACAGGGATTAGACCAGTGTTTCCCAAGCCTGGCGACTTCAAGACCTGTGGACTTCAGTTCCCAGAATTCCCTAGCCAGCCATGGGGGAGTTGAAGTCCACACGTGGCCAAGTTTGGGAAACCCAGGATTAGGGACTACCTAATAATCTGAGCTGTGGATTTTGGAGCCAGCAGACAAGGAAACGGGCTTCCAGTACTGCCACCACATGTCCATCCAGAGAACTGCAATCCAAATATCTCTGGAAATTTTCTGTCACCCAAGCCATAGCTGTCCTAAAGATGCTTTTCCACCAGGCAACTGGACTTCTTGTTTTTCTTTGAAGACATTTCGCTTCTCATCCACATAGGAGAATAAGCCCATCCGGACTAGATTCAGCAATCCCTCTGCATTTGAAAGATGAAGGCCACTCTTTCAAAGACAGCAAAGTCCACAAAGTCCAGACTGGAACATTGGGCGCTATCTAACAAAATGAAATTCAGTGGTGAAAAAAATAAGGTTCCACATTTAGGCAAGCAAAACCAAATGTACAGATGTAGTATAGGGGGTACCTTGCTCAACAGTAGCAACTATGAGAGGGATCTCGGAGTCCTAGTGGACAATCACTTAAATAGGAGCCAGGCGTGTGCTGCAGCTGCCAAAAAAGCCAACACAGTGCTGGGCTGCATCAACAGAAGGATAGAATCAGAATCAGGTGAAGTGTTAATACCACTTTACAAGGCCTTGGTAAGGCCACACGTGGAATACTGCATCCAGTTTTGGTCACCACAATGTAAAAAAAAAAAAAGATGTTGAGACTCTAGAAAGAGTAAATCGAAGAGCAACAAAGATGGAACTAAGGAGGAATTTCCTAACGGTGAGAACAATGAATCAATGGAACAACGACTTTAGAATATTGCATCCAATTTTACTTGTCACAACATAAAAAAGATGCAGAGACTCTGGAAAGAGTGCAGAGAAGAGCAACAAAGATGATTAGGAGACTGGAGGCTAAAACATATAAGGAACGGTTGCTGGAATTGGGTATGTCTAGTTTAACAAAGAGAAGGACAAGGGGGGACAGGATAGCAGTCTTCCAGTATCTCAGGGGCTGCCCCAAAGAAGAGGGAGCCAAGCTATTCTTCAAAGTGCCTGAAGGCAGGACAAGAAGCAATGGACGGAAACTAATCAAGGAGAGAAGCAACCTAGAACTAAGGAGAAACTTCCCGACAGTTAGAACAATTAACCAGCGGAACTACCTGCCTCCAGAAGCGGTGAAAGCTCCAACACTGGAAGTTTTTAAGGAGAGACTGGACAGCCATTTGTCCGTAATGGTATAGGGTTTCCTGCCTGAGCAGGGGGTTGGACTAGATGACCTCCCATGTCCCTTCCAAATCTACTACTACTACTACTACTACTACATCATTCTGGACAGAGAGGATTGCTGGCTTGAGAGACGGGCCCAAAAGGGCATCTAGGTCAAAATTGACCAGCCCTCTCAACAGAGGGAGAGGGTTATGACATCATCCATCTCCCATCTACAACACGGTCCAAGAAGGCTCCACACCCCTTTGCACCACTCAGGTGACCCTGAGGACACAGAGATGAACCTCCAAGTGGCCTCAACGACTCTCAGAGAGAGAATTAATGATCAGATGACTGCAAGGAATGTAAATTCTTCCATCATCATCCGGTCAGAGCTGAAGAAGCTTCTTGGAGGAGAAGGGAAACATCTTCAAAGAAAAGAAAAAACAAAAAAGTCCAGTTCCTTCCTGAAAAAAAAAAAGCACCTTTGGGACAAATCTATCTTAGCCCTACCAAAAATGGACAGCAGGTCCTTTGATATAGTGAAGGGAACTTAAGCAGGATGAACCCATCATGGTTCCTCAATCCCTTTGCATCAGATAGGTAGAATATTCCCAGTCTCCAGATTTTGGAGGGGTAAAATGCTTTCCAGTGGATTTTGGAATTCTGATTTTTAGACCAGGATTTTTTTGGAACTCAAAGGAATCCGGGCAGAATGGCACCAAAAGCAAGGATGATGGACACATTATTCCCTTGAGTTTCTAGGAAACAGAATTTGATATACGAGGAAGAACCTACAAAGAACGGCTGCAGGACTTGGGTTTAGCTAGCCTAAACAAAAGAAGAAATAGGGGAGACATGATAGCAGCATTCCAGTATCTGAGGGGCTGCCACAAGGAAGAGGGGGTCACGTTATTCTCCAAAGCACGAGAGGGAAGGATGAGAAACAATGGTTGGAAATTGATCAAAGAGAGAAGCAATCTGGAATTAAGGAGAAACTTCTCGACAGTGAGAACAATTAACCAGTGGAACAGCTTGCCACCAGAAATCGTGGGCGCTCCATCACTGGAAGTTTTTAAGACTAGGCTAGACAGTCACTTGTCTGAGATGGTATATAGGTTTGTCTGCCTGAGCAGAGGGCTGGACTAGAAGACCTCCAAGGTCCCTTCCAGCTCTATTTGATTCTATTTTGTTGGCTGGTTGGGCTGAGATGGTGAAAAAGTCCTTTCTCTCCTGAGCAGAATATAAATCCGGGCAATTAAACTCAGAGTCAAGAACGGGATCAGCCTGGAATCCCTACATAGCCACGAGTGAAATGAATCCAATCTTCCTTGAATTCCATTGAATTTATTTATTTATTTATGAGACTTATATGCCGCTTTAAGTGCAAGCACTCTCTAAGCGGTGTACACCAGTAAGCAATGTATATATATATATATATATTTACATTGCCCCCAACAATCTGGGTCCTCACTTGACCTACCCCAGAAGGATGGAAGGCTGAGTCAACCTTGAGCCGGTGAGATTTGAACCGCTGACCTGCTGAACACAGTCAGCTAAAGTGGCCTGCAGTACTTGCACTCTAACTGCTGCGCCACCTCGGCTCTTCAACTTATCTAACTGCTTCCAGGTGCAAACTGTGCGTAAGCTTTTAGCAATAGATCAGTTTCCGGACCTGGTCCTTCACGCCAGACAATTTACTTGTCTGGACGTCACCAGACAGAGGAGCCCAGCTGTTGGGTTTACTGACCTCGTGGCTGCATTGTTGTACTGATCTAACCTCTGGGTCTCTTAACTCTGTTGCTAGCCTTATTGACCAAGATTAAGATTAAGGAAATGGAGATATTAATAGGTTTGGAGCACCTAGAATTCGGTGGCAGTCTTAACATTTAGGGAAAAATATATTGTACTTATTAGAAGAGAATATTTGTAGCTCGGGGTACAAATGAGGGATCCTGGGTGCTCTCTGAGCTGGGGGGGGTTTTCTTGCAGACGTTTCATGACCCCACTAGGGAACAATATCGGTGCTTTGGTCATGAAACGTCTGCAAGAAAACCCTCCAGCTCAGAGAGAAACGTCAGACCCGAGACTGTTTACAGATCAAGAAGAAAAAGAAAGTCAGAAATCTCCAACTATTATTCTAACTACGGTTTGTATAATAGTTACAATTCATAGAAACAGTCCTGAAGGCAACGTGTAAAATATACGTGTATATAATAAGAGAGACAACCCCATACTTCTAGCATGGATGATGTTACCTAGTCAGGTAATGAAATGTCTGCAAGAAAACCATGAAGCTCAGAGAGCACCAAGGACCCCACAGTCCTCCTCCTCCCCTTCCTCCTCCCCTTCCTCCTCCTCCTCCTCCTCCCCCTCCCTGCAAATCCCCCTCCCTTCTAGCACTGATGATGTTCCCTAGTTGGGTCATGAAAAGTCTGCAAGAAAACCATCAAGCTCAGAGAGCACCAAGGACCCCACAGTCCTCCGCCTCTCCTCCTCCTCCTCCCCCCCTGCAAAACACACTCCTTTCTAGCACTGATGATGTTCCCTAGTTGGGTAATGAAATGTTTGCAAGGAAAGCACCAAGTTCAGAGAGAAACAGGAAAGCAACAGTCCTCCTCCACCATCTCCTCCTCCTCCTCTTCTTCTTTGCAAACCCCATTAGTGGGGTCATGAAACATCTGCAAGAAAGCCACCCAGGTCAAGTCCCCCCAAGTAAAACAACACACCTCCATTTAGGCAACACGTCTTAGTGTGTATTATTATTTTTTTTCTTTCTGGTCCCTGGTTGTCAACGCAATAGCGTCATTCCATCAGATCCTTTCCCGTTGCCACGGGGGGCAAAAGTCTAACCCGTAGAGCAGTGACTTCAAATGAAATATCTTTATTAAAATGCAGAGTTGTGAGGCCATGTCCAAGGCACTCGTTTCAGGCAGCCTTTGAAATCGGGAGAAGCAATTTGATCAAAACATGTGCATTTTAAAGTTCTTGGGACAAGGGGGATGGGGTGGGTGTATTGGTATGCACCACTGCAGTTTTGCTAAGACAGAACCTGCCTGTGTGTGTGTGTGTGTGTGTGTGTGTGCGCGCGCGCGTGCTTGTGTTTTGCAGTAGCGTCCAGGCTGTGATCGGATCTTAAGTAACTGATCAGCCTGCCTTTGCAGCATTGTTTTATTGATCACTATGTTTCAGCCACAAGATCAAATACAAGTCGGGGACGACGGCTTTAAGCAATGGGATGGTAAGAACAGTGTTCGCTGTAGGATGCAGTAATGTATATTTTCCTAAGTATATTTTATTTATCACTCTCCTATTATTATTATTATTATTATTAAAAAACAAACCTTAACTGTAACATTTAAGTAAACTTTATTATAAATTCACTTCTTTAACTTACATACATTCACACTGAGTTTCACGTTTTTCTAAACGGGCGTGTGCGTTGTGGTGTCTCTATAAAGCTGGTTTCTTCTAACTAGTTTTGGCTTCCCTGGATATGGAGGCGATGGTGAACACCGTGAGGGCCTGGCGAGAGAACCCCGTCAAGTTCGCCCGATCGCACGGGGTGAACGTGTCGCACGACGCGAAGATGCCCGACTCGGAGGACATCGACATCCTGGTGGTGGAGGGATTCCTGCTTTATAATTACAGGTAGACACCCCTCTTTTGCGGTTGTTTATTTTAAAGCGCGACAGCGTGGAATATTTTTAAAGTAGTTCTTGGACACTTTTTCTTTCAACATGATCCTGCTTCTGAAGTTTGGACAAAAGCTTCCTCTGGTTGTTAGCATTCTCCACTCTCCCTGTTTTTGCAGAATGGAAATTGGTAAAGCAGAGTAGCCCAAACCAAAACCACCACCACCACCACCTCCTCCTCCTCCATTTTCTCTTCCTTCTCTTTTTCTATCTTCTCTTCCTTCATCCTCTTCTCTTTCACCATCTCCTCCTCTTCTCCGCAAACCATTTCTCCTTCTAGCCCTGATGAGGCTACCAAGTTGGGTCCTAAAATGCTGCAACAAAAAACCCCCCAAGCTCAGAGAGCACTAAGGACCCCACAGTTCTCCTCCTCCTCCTCCTCCTCCTCCTCCTCCTCCTCCTCCTCCTCCTCCTCCTCCTCCTCCTCCTCCCTCTCATCCTCCACCTCCTCCTCCTCCTCTCTGCCAACCCCTCTCCACTGATGATATTCCCTAGTTGGGTTATGAAATGTCTGCAAGGAAATCGCCAAGCTCTTGAATTCTGAAACTGTACAAAGTATCTTAACAGAAACTATCCATCTTTTTAAACCACTTAGTATCAAAGACTCTCTTCTTACCAACTTATTGTGATTCCAATTCCGGGCATGTTGCATTCTTTACCTTTAAAATTTGTCTTTCTAGAGATGGTCATGGCTTCATTCCCAAGGCTCTGAAAAATGCGTATATTTTGTTGTGCAACGAATCACTTGTGCAGGAGGCCTTTTTCCATGTAATTCGGGGTGGGGTGGGGTGGAAATGACCCTTTCAAATTGTACCGTAACCCTGCAAATATCGAGGTCAAATGTTAGCCATCATTCAGCTCTGGCTGCCATCGCAACCGCGCGGGGGGGGGGGGGAATGGCAATTGGTATCAATTAACTTTATTGACCATAATCTCTGCTGGGTGACAGAGGCAATTAATGACAGTTCTTGCAATGCAAGAGAGACCTTTATAATAATAGTAAAGTTGGAAGGGACCTTGGAGGTCATCTAGTCCAACCCCCTGCTCGGGCAGGAAACCCTACACCATTTCGGACAAATGGCTGTCCAGTCTCTTCTTAAAAACTTCCAGTGTTGGAGCATTTACTGCTTCTGGAGGCAAGCTGTTCCACTGATTAATTGTTCTCACTGTCAGGAAGTTTCTCCTTAGTTCTAGGTTGCTTCTCTCCTTGATTAGTTTCCACCCGTTGCTTCTTGTCCTGCCTTCAGGTGCTTTGGAAAATAGCTTAATTCCCTCTTCTTTATGGCAGCCCCTGAGATATTGGAATACTGCTATCATGTCCCCCCTTGTCCTTCTCTTCGTTAAACTAGACATACCCAATTCTAGCAACCGTTCCTTATATGTTTTAGCCTCCAGTCCCCTAATCATCTTTGTTGCTCTTCTCTGTACTCTTTCTAGAGTCTCAACATCTTTTTTACATCGTGGTGACCAAATGTTATGTTGTGGCTTGTTGGTTCGTTGGCTCTTCTTTTCACCAAAACTGATGAATCACTGCAATATCCCAGCATCCTAATGCCCGCGTTCTTAAATCGAGCATAGTGACTCCTTTGATCCAGACCAACATTTGTTCACCTGAGACTCATCCGAGCAACTTCATCGCTCCAAATAATAAAAAAAAAATTAGATAGGCAGAGAGTCAGAGAGTCGTTGGAACCCTTGCCATGCCAACTTCAGAATAACAGGTCTGGAAGGGTCCTTGGAGGTCTTCTAGTCCAACCCCCTGCTCAGGCAGGAGAACCTTATGCCATTTCAGACTTCAGGAACGAAGCGTCTCAGATTAATATCTGATGGAATTGATCTAATGGATTAATATCTGATGGAAACTAATCAAAGAGAGAAGCAGCCTAGAACTAAGGAGAAACTTCCTGACAGTGAGAACAATTAACCAGTGGAACAACCTGCCTCCAGAAGTGGTGAAGGTTTTTAAGAAGAGGTTAATAATAATAATAATAATAATAACAACAACAACAACAACAACAACAACAGAACAAAATAGAACAAAATAAAACAGAATAGAATAGAATAGAATAGACAGAGTTGGAAGGGACCTTGGAGGTCATCTAGTCCAACCTCCTGCTCAGGGAGAAAAGCCTATACACATTTCTGACAAAGGGCTGTCCAGTCTCTTCTTCAAAACTTCCAGTGTTGGAGCCTTCACCGCTTCTGGAGGCAGGTGGTTCCACTGGTTAATTGTTCTGACTGGACAACCATTTGTCTGAAATGGTAGAGGCTTCCTGCCTGAGCGGGGGGGTTGGACTAGATGACCTCCAAGGTCCCTTCCAACTATTACTATTATGTTTTTAAGATGCTTTTGGCCTGGATGATTGAGTCTTCATATCGACACATTGCCATATATTTTGGGGAGAAACCCCTGAAGTGGATATGACGAATGTTGTTCCATTCCAATGTCTCTCTGCTGATCTTATTTTTCCTTTACTGCAGTTTTGTGTTTTGTTTCAATTCCCCAGCACAAAAATCCACCTCTATAGACAGTGTGCTGTCCCTGATTCGCTCAAAAGCTAGCTTGAGGTCTTTAAAAAGATTGTGACGAGGGCAGTTGTGAGCTAATTTGAGACTTGGCGGGGATGGGGCACAAATCCTAGTTGTAGGTAAGTCCTTGAGTTACAACTGTCATGCAGCTGGGCATAAGTTATCACCGTCATCAAATGAGTGGGACGCAAAACCGATCCCATTTTTTTTTAATTGAAAGTTTATAAAATTTTACAATAAAATACTCCCCCCCTCCTAACCCCCCAACCCCCTACTTCCCAGAGCTGAATACAGGGTTAAAAACAATAAAAAACATAGAACTTAAATGAACATCAAACAATTATACATACATCCAAAAAACAAAATGTTAAACACTTTAACTCCAGTACATAAAAACAAAAATTACCATCCTTAAACGTAAGTTATTCAGAAGCTTACCCTTAGATATACATTATTCAAAAGCTAAATAATACTTTCTAATATCGTATTTATTCTGTATAAAATTCACCCATCTTTTCCACACCAAAATATATCTCTCTTGCGATTGGTCTTTCTATTCTATTCTATTCTATTCTATTCCTATTCTATTCTCCATTCCATATTCTATTCTATTCCATATTCTATTATATTCCATTCCATTCCATATTTTCTATTCTATTCTATTCCTATTCTATTCTTATTCCTATTCTATTCTTATTCCTATTCTATTCTATTCTCCATTCCATATTCCATTCCATATTCCATTCCATTCTATTCTATTCTATTCCATATTCTATTCTATTCCATTCCATATTTTCCATTCTATTCTATTCTATTCTATTCTATTCTATTCTATTCTATTCTATTCTATTCTATTCTATTCTCCATTCCATATTCTATTCTATTCTATTCTATTCCTATTCTATTCTCCATTCCATATTCTATTCTATTCTATTATTCCATTCTATTCTATTCTATTCTCCATTCCATATTCTATTCTATTCCATTCCATTCCATATTTTCTATTCTATTCTATTACTATTCTATTCTTATTCCTATTCTATTCTATTCTCCATTCCATATTCCATTCCATATTCCATTCCATTCTATTCCATATTCTATTCCATATTCTATTCTATTCCATTCCATATTTTCTATTCTATTCCATTCCATTCCATTCCATATTTTCTATTCCATTCCATTCCATTCCATATTTTCTATTCCATTCCATTCCATATTTTCTATTCTATTCCATTCCATTCCATTCCATATTTTCTATTCTATTCCATTCCATATTTTCGATTCCATTCCATTCCATATTTTCTATTCTATTCTATTCCATATTGCATTGCATTCTGTTCTTTCACTATTCTATCCTATTCTGTTTCTTTCCATTCCATTCCATTCCTATTCCTATCCCATTTCCTATTCCCATTTCTAATCTGTTCTATTCTGTTCTGTTCCGTTCCATTCTATTCCGCTCCGCTCCGTTCTGTTCTGTTCTATTCTATACATGGAAGTATCCCAAGGGAAGACGTAGACACAAGATGCTGAATAGCAATGCTAGAAAGATGGGGGTTTCCTGGAATTTTATTCTTCATTATGGGACAACAATTAGTCTGGGATGGTATGAAGATTCCTAGCTTGTAAACTGGGATGGACTACTACTAGAGGACCTCTAAGGGTCCCTTCTGGGATTCTATGAAGTGCCGTGCCAAATGGTAAATGCCCTGGTCCTGTTTTCGTTCCTGCAGGCCTTTGGTGGATTTGTTTGATAAGCAGTACTACTTGGCCGTTCCTTATGATGAGTGCAAACGGAGGAGGAGGTAAGGACCGTTTCATGATCTGATGCGTGGAGGGCTAAAATGTCCTCCTCTCCCACTCCTGTTCCTTGACAGTAATGGAGGTTGTAGAACGAGAAGGCTTTTGCTAAGATGACGTTCCCAAACACCCCTTTTCAGGGAGTTGGGCAGCAGATAAATTAATTGATGATGATGGTGATGTAGATTTATTATATCCGGGACTTCATTTAACCTCTGACCTGCAGCCATTTTGCAACGTCTGTCCGGGTGCCCACCTGGCAGGGTGGCAGTTCATGGTGTTTTGGTTCCAGCTAATGAAACATTCCAAAGAACTTCCAGGCATTTATTTTCCTAAAAGTCTTTTATTGTTACAAAATGTCGGCACAGGCACAACGGAGGGATGCTAGGATCTAAGTTCTCTTCCTCTGAGCAGTTAAATTATCAGCATGTTCCCTCCCTAAATTAGCCGTCATATCTCACATTATCCAATTAGTTTGAAGGTCAAAGGTTTCCTTCCTCTTTCTTTCCCGGGCTTTACCCTCACCCCCCTTCTGCTCTGTATTAACCCCAAAAATATCAGACAGTTCTGCATATTGTCAAAAGCAAGAATATACAATATTTGCAGCGTTGACACATGGCAGGACAAGGGCTGAGCAAGGCTGCTGCACAAAACAAACACCGCACTGGGGAAGCTAGGAAGAGCAGGGTGTGTTTTGTAGAAGATCTACATCAGTGTTTCTCAACCTTGACTATTTTAAGGTATGTGGACTTCAACTCCCAGAATTCCATAGCCAGCAATGCTGGCTGTGGAATTCTGGGAGTTGAAGTCCTCATGCCTTAAAATTGTCAAGGTTGAGAAACACTGGTCTACATCAATCTCTCCTTTCCAGAAGCTCCACTCCAACCTTAGGGACTAGATTCATGGGCTCAACCTCACTAGAAGAGTAGCTTTACTGTGGCCAGAACGAAGAAGAAGACAGCTGGACCCCGAGGATCTGCCTCCTGCAGAGTAGAGGACTCTAAAGTGTATGTCTGCTCCTGGGCTGATATGTAGGCCGTTGGCTGTGCCTGTGTCAAGCCAGTCGACTTTAAGCCGTTCTTCTCCCCAGTTTGACCTTGGCAGATCTTGGCTCCATGTTTACGCTGCAATTCTAGGGAGAGGGTTACTTGCCTTGCCAGATCCAGCTCTTAAAATTTTGAATTTGATTGATTGTTTTGATTGGAATGGTTTGTTGATTATTCTCTAGTGTAATGCTGTACAGCTTAACTTCTCTCCTCTTCTCTCCTCTCCTCTCCACTCCACTCCTCTCCTCCCCTCTCCACTTCTCTCCACTCCACTCCACTCCACTCTTCTCCCCTCCCCTCCCCTCTCCACTTCTCTCCTCTCCACTCCACTCCACTCCACTCTTCTCCTCCTCTCCCCACTTCTCTCCACTCCTCTCCTCTCCTTTTTTTCTCTCTTCAGTACACGTAAATACACCATTCCTGACCCTCCCGGTCTATTTGACGGTCACGTCTGGCCAATGTATCTTAAACACAGGAAGGAAATGGAGGCCAATAAAGTCAACGTTGGTAAGAAACTCTTGACATAACCTGACTGCAATTAAGAAGGGTTGGGTCAAATAAATATGAACGAGGCAAGTGCTAGGGGCTGGAAAATGTCTTAGTGAACAATTTTGGGTAAAAAAAAAAGTTCACCTCTGGTTAAGAGGGACGGTCCATAAATTTGAAAAAGAAATCAAAGTTTTTAGAAAGCCGTAGAAAGACTAGCAGAGTTGGGGCCATTCTAGTCTCCAAGGGGAGGGTATTCCCACAGACCAGGGGCCCCTGTGGAAAAGGCCCCACTTTTAATCCAGGGGTCGCCAACCCCCGGGTTATGGCCCAACTTGGACCCTGAGCCATTCACAAACGGGCCGCCGAAAGAGGGAAGCAAAAACGCACATCCCCACTTGTCCGAGCAGCGAGCGAGCGTGCTCCCACTCCATTTGTGTAAAGGGTAGGTGCGCGTGCCCGCTGCTCGTGCAGAACCATCCCCTGTCCCCCCCCCTCCCGATCCCCAAAGCTGGAAAGGTTGGGGCACTCTGTTCTAATCCCCACCAGCCAACATTCTTTGGCTGATGGGACCGGCACCACGCCCAATCTTCCTGAGCGAATTGGATGGGCAGAAACTCTTCCTGTTTCTAAACTCTCAAATCACAATCCCTACTTGTCCCAAAGGTGGGGTTTTTTTTCCCAAGAGGCAATTGGATTTTCTTCTTCCTTGAAGACGTTTCGCTTCTCATCCAAGAAGCTTCTTCAGCTCTGACTGGATGGTGGAGAGTGGAAGGATTTATGTTCTTTGAAGACAGTTGGTCATTTGCCTTCTTTTAGAGGGTCACTGAGGCCACTTGGAGGTTTACTTGTGTCCTCAAGGTCACCTTAGTGGTGCAAATGGGTCCGGAGCTTTGTTTGGAACTGCTGACAACACCATCTATCTCCAGTGTACAACACAGTCCTTTCAGCTGTTCCAAGAAGGCTTCACACCCATTTGCACCACTCAGGTGATCCTGAAGATTCAGATAAACCTCCAAGTGGCCTCAACGACTCTCAAAGAAGGCAAATGACCAGCTGTCTGCAAGGAGTATAAATCCTTCCCTTCCCCATCATCCGGTCAGAGCTGAAGAAGCTTCTTGGAGAAGCGAAACATCTTCAAAGGAAAAAACAAGAATGTCCAGTTGCCTCCTGGCAAGGGGGTTGGACTAGATGACCTCCAAGGTCCCTTCCAACTTTATTATTATTATTATTATTATTATTATTATTATTATTATTATTATTATTATTATTATTATTATAAAAGCACCTTTGGGACAACGATGACCTGGATGACAGAGAATCTCCACGGACATTCACCTAAACCTACTTATCCTTAAGGAAATTTCACTGAAGCTTTTCCCAGAAATGTCATTAGAATTGTGGTGTTACGTCTTGGCTAATTCCGGGGATAAATCTCTACATGCCTGCTGAAAGTTGGGAGTTCACTCTCAACGTAACGACATGCAAATTTGGTAATTGTCCATTCTTATTTTCAGTTTATTTGGATGGATTGAAGTCCCGAGATGACCTTTATTTGCAGGTCTTGGAAGATATTCAGAACACGCTCTTGAACTGTTCATAGGTGAATATAGAGTATTCCTGATTGGACTCGGGGGCGTGAGAGGAAATACTACCGCTTTGCAATAAAATAATTACCAATTTTCATAGTTTAGATGTCAACGCCTTGTGTTTTCTTTTTCCAGGATCTGCGGGAAACAGAAAGATCTATGTACAGATGTGATGTAAATACTTTTTTTTTTGGCAGAAGCATGGAGAATTGAGTTTAAAAACACCTGCTGGACATTGTCCTTTAAGAAAACAACTTTATGTATATAATTGCACGCTAAGACAACTTATTGACCACACATCTGTGGGCAGTCTTTTTATCTTCTTATTTTATATTCCACTGATTTTGCGTTTTTCAGCTGCATTTTTATACTTGGATGAAGTTTGTAAAATACTATCGCTTAAGTCCTTTAACAATAATATCTTCTGTAACTATTTGTGTAATAAATACCATAATGTATATTCAATAAAGATTGAGACGTTTTGTATATCGTACTCGGGAACTGTCACAGCTCTTTGCATCTGCAACACCTCTGGGGGGGGGGATCATCACACTTTTCTCTCTGAAATCCTGACATACATCCTCATGGCCCACCATAGAGGCAATGTGAAGTCAGTTTTAGCCATTCCAAGATTATACATTTCATCTCCCAACGGAATTTGACTGGTGGGTATGATGAAAGAAACTGGATGATGCAGCCCCAGTGTTTATGGCTTGCGTGCCATCTAGTTGGTGTTCCAGGATGGTCTGTTTCCATCCTTCAGATCAGAGGTCTCCAACCTCCGCTACTTTAAGACTTGTGGACTTCAACTCCCAGAATTCTTCAGCCAGCTTGGGGAACTATGGCTGTTTTATGATTTATGGACTTCAGTTCCCAGAATTCCTCAGCCGGCTTGGGGAAACTTGGCTATTTTATAATTTGTGGACTTCAACTTCCAGAATTCCTGCGTCAGTGTGGGGAACTATGGCCCGTTTATCACTTGTGGACTTCAACTCCCAAAATTCCTCAGCTAGCATGAGGAATAATAATAATAATAATAATAATGGAGACAGCAGAATAGACGAGAAAGAACTGGAGAAGATAACAAAATACAAAGACCTACAAATAGAAATAGAAAGACTGGCAAAAGCAAGCAAGGGTGGTACCAATAGTCATAGGCGCCTTGGGTGCAATCCCAAAACAACTGGAGCACCACTTGAACACCATCATCGGATTGACAAATTCGCTATTAGTCAATTGCAAAAGACGGCCTTACTAGGAACTGCTTCCATCCTGCGACGATATCTGTAATACCATCAAACATCCACATCTGCCTGTCCCAGGTCCTGGGTAAGGACTCGATAGGTAGACAAAATGCCAAATCCAGTCTGAACATCTGGCTGACTGTACGATGATCCATAATAATAATATAATAATAATAATATTAAACTGCTCTGGGACTTCAGAATTGAAACAGACAAGCACCTGCAACATAACACCCCAGACTTAACAATTGTCGATAAGAAAGACAAAAAAGTCTGGATAGTGGACGTGGCAGTGCCTGGAGATAGCAGAATAGAAGAGAAAGAACTGGAGAAGATAACAAAATACAAAGACCTACAAATAGAAATAGAAAGACTGTGGCAAAAGCAAGCAAGGGTAGTACCAATAGTCATAGGCTCCTTGGGTGCAATCCCAAAACAACTGGAGCACCACTTGAACACCATTGGCATTGACAAATTCGCTATTAGTCAATTGCAAAAGGCGGCCTTATTAGGAACTGCTTCCATCCTGCGACGATACCTGTAATACCATCAAACATCCACATCTGCCTATCCCAGGTCCTGGGTAAGGACTCGATAGGTAGACAAAATGCCAAATCCAGTCTGAACATCTGGCTGACTGTGCGATGATCCATTATTATTATTATTATTATTATTATTATTATTATTATTATTTTTTTTTTTTTTTTTTTTTATTGAAATTTTTCAAAAGTTTTACAAATAAAAATCCACCCCCCCCTCCCCAACCACCCCACCCCCCCCCCCCCGACTTCCCAGAACTGAATATAGGATTATTTAACAAATATTTTAAAAATAACATTTGCAATTTATAAAATAATTAATAATAATAATAAAAATCACAGTAATAATATATATAGAAATAATATACATAACATAAACTTTAAAATGAATAATATATACTAAAAAAGAAAAAAAATAAAAAATAAAAAGAGAAGAGAGAGAGAGAAAGAAGAAAGAAGAAAGTAGACGAAAAATAAAGCATATATATATATAAAAAAAAAAAAATATATGAATAATAATACATTAAAAATGTATATATATAAAAAAGAAAAAGAAGAAAGAAAGAAAGAAAAAACAATCATTACAAATTATAAAAAGGCTAAATAATATTTTTCCATATCCAAATTATGTTGTATAAAATTTATCCATTTTTCCCATACCGCAAAAAATTTTTCTTGAGATTGCTCCTTTAAGAAAGCCGAAATCTTTGCCATTTCTGCCAAATACGAAACTTTATGAAACCATTCTTGTAAAGTAGGCAAAGATTCCTTCTTCCAATATTGTCCTATTAACAACCTAGCGGCTGTAATCAAATTTAACATCAATATAACCTCCTTAGCATCACAGTCAATAACAATACCTAGTAAAAATAATTGCGGAGTAAATTTTACCCTCCTTTTAAAAATTCTTTGAATATTCCACCATATCTTAATCCAAAAAGCTTTTATATGCTTACACGTCCACCAAATATGGTAATAGGTAGCATCCAAATATCCACATCTCCAGCATTTCGGCTGTAGATTAGGGTACATAATGGACATTTTCTTTGGGTCAAGGTGCCATCTATAAAACATCTTATAAAAATTCTCTCTTAAATTTTGCGCTTGTGTGAATTTAACATTTCTTATCCAAATAAGTTCCCAAGTATCCATTGAAATCGTTTCACCAATATTCTGTGCCCATTTAATCATACAATCTTTAACTAGTTCAAGTTCTGAATCTAATTCCACTAAAACCCCATAAACTCTCTTAATATGGGTTGGCCTTTGATCTCTTACTTGTTTTAAAAAAATTCCATCTTCTCTAAGCCAGCCCATTTTACAATCCATCTTCCATCTATCCACTATTTGTCTATATTGGAACCATGAATAAGTTAAGTTTTCATGTGTTAATTCTTCCAAAGATTTTAACTGCCAGTCTTGGCCATCCCATCTTAATAACTGTACGTAAGAGACCTTGTCCATATTTACCCCTTTCCTTATACCTTCTATGGCATGCCGAGGTATAGCCCATAATGGTATTTTGAAGTCACTTTTATAATACTTTCTCCACACTCTTAGCAAAGAGTTTCTTATAATATGAGACTTAAAAACCCAATCCACTTTTTTATTAAATATTAAATAGGCATGCCATCCAAAAAATAGGTCCCAGCCTTCCAAATGAAGTATTTCTGTATTTGTTAAATTCACCCAGTCGCTAATCAATGTCAATACTACAGCATCATAATACAATTTCATATTTGGTACCTTGAGTCCACCTCTCTCACGAAAATCTTGCATTATTTTAAGTTTCACCCTTGGTTTTTTCCCTGCCCAAACAAATTTATTAATACCTTTTTGCCATTCATCTAAATTACGTTCGTTCTTTAAGATAGGTAACATTTGGAACAAAAAAATAAACTTTGGCAGGACATTCATTTTAATAACTGCAATTCTGCCCATAAGGGATAACTGTAAATTATTCCAGTTTTTTAAATCCTTCTGTACCTCCATCCACAGCTTTTCATAATTATTTTTATACAATTTTACATTAGAAGCAGATAATGTAACCCCCAAATATTTTACCTTATCAACAATTTCAAAGTCTGTTAAGTTAACTAGAGCCTGTTTATCACCATTAGTCATGTTTTTAGCTAATATTTTGGTCTTATTATTATTAATTTTAAAGCCAGAAACACGTCCATATTGTTGAATCAATTGTAATAATTTCACCACCGAAGAAACAGGTTGAGACAAAGTAACAACCAAGTCATCTGCAAAGGCTCTTAATTTATATTCTTTTTTATTAATTTCTATTCCTTTTATTTCTTGAGACTCCCGAATTTTAATCAACAAAATTTCCAGTGTTAAAACAAACAATAACGGAGACAACGGGCATCCCTGTCTTGTTCCTTTTTCTATTACAAAAGCCTCTGACAAACCCCCATTTACAATAATTTGAGCAGTCTGTTTTTGATATATATTGGATAATACTTGTAATATATTTTGTCCAAAATTCATCTCCTTGATTAAACACAGCATAAACTGCCAATTCACTTGATCAAAGGCTTTTTCAGCATCCAAAAATATCAGGCCTGCAGAGACTTGGTTATTCTTTTCTAAATACTCTAATAAATTAATAATTTGTCTAACGTTACTCTTCATATACCTTCCAGTTATAAAACCCGATTGATCCCTATGTATAAACTGCTGCAAGATCCCCATAAGCCTGTTAGCTAAAATTTTTGCAAAAATTTTATAATCCACATTTAAAAGAGATATAGGCCTATAATTTTTAGGCAAAGTAAGATCTTGACTATCTTTTGGAATCAATGATATAAATGCATTACGCCAGGATGGAGGGATCTCTAACCCCTGTAATAAATTATTAAACAGTTCACACAACGGTTGAATCATCTCTTCTACTAAAGCTTTATAATAAATAGATGTCAACCCATCCGTACCCGGCGCTTTGCCCAATTTCAATTGTTTAATAGCTGTAACAATTTCTTCCTTAGTAATTAAACCGTTAATCTTTTTTTCCTGATCTTCTGTTAATTTAGGAAAGTTGACTTTGCCTAAATAATTATTTATATCTGTAATTTGAATATTGGTACCCTTATATAATTTTTGATAGTATTCTAAAAAAGATTTCTTAATCAATTCTTTCTGATAAACCAATTTACCATTATAATTTATTTTATCTATATTCCTCTGTTTCTGTTTTTTTCTTAACTGATAAGCCAACCATCTCCCTGGTTTATTAGCATTACAAAATGTATTTTGTTTCATAAATAGCAAATTAGTTGCAGCTTGATCAGCCATCAGCATGTTAAATTGTGTTTTTAACAATTTTAAAGCTCCTTTAATCTTTTCATCTAAGGGATTTGAAATTAAAAGTTTCTCTTTTAATTTAATCTCCTCTTCCAAGTCTTTCCGTTTCTGAATCTGTTTCTGTCTATGCAAATTATTCATTTTTATCAAAATACCACACATAAAAGCTTTACTTGCATCCCAGACCATTGACAATGATGTTCCCTTGTTCATATTTAAAGTAAAATATTCCTTTAAACATTCCTTTAATTTATGAACATTTTTTTCTTGTTTAAATAAATTCTCATTCACCCTCCAGGATCTCCTATCTTCCTTCTCTACAAACAGTTCCATCCAAACTGGACTATGATCGGACAATGTCCTAGAAAAAATTTTTACATTCTTCACCCTGTTGTATA